ATAAAGTTATTTTAAAATTACATATATTTTAACTCCTTTAATTTTTTAGAGATCCACTCATGAAATTTCAAATATAGGCTACGCATTTGAATAGCATTCATGGGAGGAGGATTAGGGAATGATTGGGACCAAATTATTCACTAATCATATTGTTAAGCGTGCTTAAGTATTCTTTTGCATGTTTAAGATGCACAAGCACTTAGTTTAGGCCCTCCTAGATCTAAGGACATGGTGTGTTATGTTTGCTATATTTTCCCTTTATGTTTCCCCAGGAGTTAGTTATCAAAACTTGTTTAAACCTACTTAATGTAACGCACCCTAAGGACAATAATTAAGGACCTGTCTAACAAACTTAGAGAAATTATATGGGATAGGGTACACCTCTGATTGATATAAAACTTAACACATTTAAATTTGGTGACATCCTAAACCTTCCAAAATTTCTAGAAACTTTTAGGATACTTTAAACCCTTAATTAATAAGCCCTAATCAACCCATTAATTAAGCCCCAATAGTGTAAAAAAATTCAAATAAATTTAAATTAAATCTAAAAATTAGTCATAATATATTAAACTCCTTAGAATTCAACTCTTAATCTCTAAAAAATTAAAAGACCCTTAATTCGACTTTAATCTGAACCTTAATTTAATTTTAATTTAAAATCACCCTTTTAATTAAATTAATTTATGAAAAATTCCAAATTTTCCCTAAACACTTGGGAACATTTCTTTAGGTTATTTATGACCTTGGGGGGTAATTCTAAAAAATTTGGAGCTAATTTAGATCAAAACCCCTAAAACACCATTTATTAAATAATTTTGATAATTCATTAAATACCCTAACTTTAAAAAATCATAACTAATTTCAAATAAATCCAAATTGGGAAGACTAAAAGGCATTCAAATCCAATTAAAATCTAGTATTTATTTAAAATATTTGCTTTCTAGAAGCCAACTTAAATTAAAAAGTCAACTCTCATGTCAACCATAATTCAATAACTATAGCCCGAAACTTCTAAAATTTATAATTTTGCCTAAAAAACTCCAATTCCAACAAACTTAAAATCTAATTACTCTTTATGTGATTTAATATTTAATTAAAATGCTAAAACACCAAAACCTAGCCTATTTCTAAGAGTGATCTTTTGGACTCCTTTAACTTAATACGTAGGCTGACCCTAGATCAGTTAAATTTGCTAACTCAACTTAAACTTCATTGAATACTATCCTAAGAATTAATACTAATTAACCAACTAAATTAATTAAAATTGACCCTAAGACATTAATATTTGAACTTTAACCAAAACTTCCCCTTTTGGCCTTTAACAAATTTGATATAAAGCAACTTGAACTAATCACTTGATACATGACACATCTTGAACAACACAACCTATGACACACACATTAGAAATATTTGTTAGTGCAAAACTTCTAGATCTAGGTTAGTCCAGTATTTTAATTTTTTATTTCTGTGATGTGACGCTCTTGCATGTGGCATGTGGGTTGGTTTCCTTGATTTGCTATGATTGTTATGATATTTCTTTTATTATGCTACTTTCTCTATATGATATGATGTGTGTGATAGATTACCCATAGGATAGGGACTATCTTGATACTGACGATGTCTCCTACACGTGGCTATGCTCAGACAATGCTAATAAAGGGGGCTAAAATCATAATAAATATATCATCTAATTTCTTGCTACATGTGCTTCAGATGCTTAGCCCCCAAAAATAAATAAGAGCATGGCCCAATGTAGCTAAAAATGAGTACTTTTTTATTTCA